AGCTGGAATCAACGGAATATAGATTAATATGACTCCCACTGGGAAGGAGAGGACAGGCCATCAGTCTGGATGGTTAATGTGGTTTATAGTAGCCAGCAAAAAAAGTGTCATATTTTCAGTGACCATCGGACCCCCCTGGATCATGAGTGTGAGCCAATATCAACAAATGCCAGACTGTTTTTCCTTAAAGGTTCCAGTGCCCCACTCAGATAAATATGAACTTTAATGAACCCGGGTCTTGGTCAGTGTGTGAGAAATGTCTGGTAAATGTCACTATTCTCACCTGGGGAAGAAAACCTCAAGAAGATGAAATAAATCTCCCAATGACCCTCAAAGTTGATAGGCCCAAGGTCTGTCATTCTTGTCCCCTCTGGAAAGATTCAATCCTCTCTATAAACAGTAGCTCCATAAACATCTGAAGTGAAGTGATCATGCCAAGATTAAAGCTGCAGGCAGTAGGGCTCTTGACCTCCAAATACGATGTCCCTTTTTTTTTTTTTAAGTTTTTTAAAATTTTATTTAAACGAATGGGCCTCCATAGAGTTGGCTTGTGCTGGAGACCCAGGTCTCAGGTAAAGAAAGGAAGGCTTATAATCATGGGCATGAGGATGTTAACTGGGTCAGGAAGTTTTCTGTAGTTTAATCAGAATTATTTCATTTTTAAAAATTTATTCCCTGAATCTCATTCCAAAAGAGGAATAAGTAAGGAGGAGGAGGAGTCGGTGGGAAACGGGAGCAGGGCCTGGGCTCTGAGCTGAACTGCCTGGATTCAGGTTTGGGCCTCACTTTCTGCTAATGAGGGCTCTGGAACAAGTGACTTCTGTGCTTTAACACTCAGTTTCCTCACCTGTCAAATGAGACGATTATCCCTTCCACCCCCTTTTCTATTTCTCAGTCCTGCCCATTCTTGCAAGTTCAGGTCACCTGCCATTCCCTCTGAAAGTCTATTTCTCTTTGTCCCTCTGGCCCCAATCTGTGCTATCCATTCTGCTGCCCCTCTCCCACATCACAATTATGAATGTATGTTCATTCAGTAAGAGGGAATAAGACCTAAGAGCAGAATGAGTCTTATACCCAAGGCCTTAAGCATAATGCCTTCAAAAGAGGTTAATTGAATGAATGAAAAACTGAGCTACTGTCACGTCCCAGGCACTAAACAAAGTGCTTTACGTGGATCATGTCCTTTATTCCTCACCAAATTCTGGAGTGGCGTGATTTCTGACATTTTAAGATGAGTAAATTTCATTGTATGAAGTTAGGTCATTAGAATATTGAGTTCAAGTCAAGTATTTATATTTGTGATATACAGTTGTCACTGGGATAAATGCTTGTGAGATGAAAGAGCTTGTGCATTTTGGGGAATACAACATAAAGTTATTTGGCCAAGTGCAAGAGGTCAGAGAGACTTCAAGCCTTTTCATCTAACTGCAAGCCTTGGGCTGCATTCGCTTATCTTGTTCTGACCTTCCTTGTCAAATGGATGCTGTGTTTGGATTCTCCTACAGTGCCTCTCAAACCTACCTATTCGTTTCATTCATTAACGTTTATATATAGCTTATTGCCTTTATCCCTAATGCCCAGCTCAGAATCCCAAACACTGTGGGGAAAACTCCAGTTTCTGATTCTCAGGGAAGGGGGAAATGTACACTCTCTACACCCACAGTACTTTTTAATTGCAATATTTGGCAGCATTCCTGCTTCCATTTGGCAGCAACCATAAGGATACCACTAATAATCGGTTTATTTTCACATGCTGTATTAAGCCATAAAACACCTTCAAAAGTCTAATGCCTTGTTCTCATAGAGATTTTGGTTAATTCTGCACAAAAACTGGCTTGAGCTATTCATTTTACAATGATTCAAGTTTTTGTTTTTTTTTTTTGATTGGACCTGAATTAGCAGATTTTATATGTGGGTACACAGAACATCAAAGCCAGAGGTGATGCTTTTGACGTGAAGCTGAGGATCCTTTTTTATTGTGGCAAAAACCATAAAATTTACCAATCTGACCATTTGTAAGTGTGCAATGAAGTAGTATAAAGGATATTCATATTGTTGTGAAACAGAGCTTCAGAATATTTTCATCTTGCAAAAACAAATTCTATACCCATTAAATAAAAATTCCCCTTCCACCTTTTTTTTAGTCTCTGGTAACCAAAGACTTTCTGTTCCTATGAATTTTACTACATTAGGTATCACACAGTATTTGTGACTGGCTGTTTTCACTTAGCACAGAGTCCTCAAGGTCCATCTACATTGTAGCAGCTGCAAGACTTGCTTCCTGTTTAAGGTTGAATAATATTCTGTTCTCTTATGTATACAACACATTATGTTAACCTTTCAACTGTTGATTTTGTTAATCCCTTCATCTGTCCATGGACTGCTGGGTGGCTTCCATCTCCTGGCTGTTGTGAATAGTGCTGCTACAAGTGTGGGTATGGTCTGTAATCCCAACCAAAGAGATGTTATAGTGTCATTTTACAAACTAGAGTGGGAACTGGCAAGGGTCTGTTAGGTCCTTACATTGTGTCATGTTCTAGATTATAGGGAGTAAATTTAACAGGTGTTCCCCAGGAAAGGGGGTGGTTCCAGGTTCCTGCCCCACCCAAAAGGAGGGTGGAGTTGAGTAGAGAGAAAAGAAGCTGCAGAGACTGAGGAATGAAGGAAGCAGAATGGGGAGCCAGAAGGAGCCCTGGAGGAGGCACATGGAGCTGAGAGGCACGTGAAGAAACTGTGCTTGCCTTTTGGTCGTGGACTGGGTGACACAGATGTGGGTGAGAGACCCGTGGGGAGGATAACAATGGCAGCTTTTATCTTGATTTTGTTCTTGTCTTCCCGGATTTGTCTGGTTGTTTCTGATCCTTTTCTGTGCGTCCCCACTGGAAGATGCTTTAGACTTGTGACAGGCTTTGGGGCCTTGCTCTGGGCCCATCCTACTTGGGTGGACTTTTACCCACGAGGGGGTGGGTAACTTTGGGTGGTTGATTTAGAAACTATATTCTTTGCCTTTCCTCTATTGTTTCCTAATTGTATTAAAGTTTCTTCCCATTAAAGTCTCATATGTTTTGTGTTGATGCAGCGGATGGCAGAACCTATTTAGAGCCGGCAGGTTTGCGGGGTCTGGGCTGCCCCTCTCCTTGCCCTGAAACATAGGGACAGGAGAGAAGCCATCTAAGCAACCACATGGCCAGACATACACAATAGTGATGTTGGGGGGTATTAAGGAGATAGTGTTTGTCCAAGACATGAGCCTACCCAAATCCTGCTTTACACTACTCTTCCTTAGGAAAGAGAGAGAGAAGCTGAAGCTAAGGATGACGTTGTAATAGGCATAAGTTGGCCTTGCGCACCCAACATTTATTCTCATTTGTCCTGCTATCAGACCCCAGCCCTAAGCATGGTAGTGTTTTACCTTTATTCTCATCTTTTAAGTGACATTAACCCCTTCCTGTTAACATTGTGAATGTCCATGAACTGTCTTATGATCTGACTCTTCTGCTATGTACCTTTTCAATGATTATGCATGTCTCTTCCTTTTCATAAATGATCTCTTTCATCCTCCTAGATTGCTTTTGCTTGGGAAGAAGGCCAGAAGTCTGATTTTGGTTTAATGACCCTGAATTCCTACAAGAAAAGTCTTAGTTTTGCAGCCAAGGAGTTTTCTTCCATTGCTTCATCTCTCATAATCCTCTCAATTTTATCTTCCATGCAACTGTACAGTTTCATTTCATTTCTTTACATTTGCCATGAAGGCTGACGATGATCCCTAATCAGATTCAACAGTGCATTTTATCCCTGTCATTGTTTAAGATGTTAGAATTTAATCAAAGCTGTGCTTCAGGAGAATTGTTAGTGTTATAGAGCAACCCCGATATTAAACGGGTTCCTGGCTGTGGGTCCTCACCCGCGCGCTTTAAAGGGACTTATGAATACTCTACTACAGACACACGCAAAAGGGTTAATAAAAGGTTTATTTACAAGAGAAAAAGAAATAAGGAAAATGTACAACTCAGGGAGAAAATAGGGAAATAAAGTCTTTAATGCGTCCTACCCGATCCGACGACCTGGAAACCCCAAAGTCACTCTCAGAGCTAGACGGACGCCGCGAGCTGGCCGAGGGCCCCAAAATGGAGAGAGCCCCCAAAGCCCACGTGTCTGCCTTTTGTATCCACCTGGCTGCTTAACCCCACCCTCAGGTCCCAGCCACCTTCCCTTTGGTGGTGATGGGATTTGGAGTTCCCAGTGTCTTTGGCTTTGACCTGGGGTGGGGGTGGAGTCCACAAAGCCTGTATGGAATTTGCTTTGGGACTGCCTTTTCCCCCTAACATTAGTAGTCTGCACACAAAGACCCTTTACTGATATTTTTTGGGATGTAAGGAGGAATTGATACAGAGTTGCTCTTCTCCATTTTCTATTTATAACCTATTGAAAAAAAATGATAGGAGTTAAAAATGAGGATGGAATGTTTTATTATCCATAAAGTTAATTCTAGAACATGCCTCGACCTATTGCTGACTGGGTTTCCTGTTTTATTCCTTATAAATTGTACCTGCCAGTTGCAATGCAGCTCACTCATTCACCAGCTACTTCTTTCCTTACAGCAAGGACTTCCTGTTCCCCCTTTTTGAACAATAGGGAGGGTCCTTACATTTGCTTTTGCCCCAGGTGGTCTTTGTTCTTGTCTTCTCTAGGACAAAAACAAAGTGCTGTAGGGAAAGAAACAATTACAGAGAAGAACAAATATGCCAGGAGCTATTTTTAAAATAGGCCTATTGTACATACATGCAAATGTCATTTTGTTAGGGGGAAAGGATATCCTAAAGCTAATTCCATACAGGCTTTGTGGACTCCACCCCCACCCCAGGCCAAAGCCCAAGACACTGGGAACTCCAAATCCCATCACCACCAAAGGGAAGGTGGCTGGGACCTGAGGGTGGGGTTAAGCAGCCAGGTTGGTATAAAGCCAGACACGTGGGCTTTGGGGGGGGGGTCCCCATTTTGGCTCCCCACCAGCTCACAGCGTCCGGCCAGCGCTGAGAGTGCCTTTGGGTTTCCGGGTCGGCGGATCGGGTAGGACGCATTAAAGACTTTATTTCCCTATTTTCTCCCTGAGTTGTACATTTTCCTTATTTCCTTTTCCCTTGTAAATAAACCTTTTATTAACCTTTTGTGTGTGCCTGCAGTAGAGTATTAATAAGTCCCTTGTAAGCATGCGGGTGAGGACCCACAGCCAGGCAACCTGTTCAATATCGGGGCTGCCCTATAACAATTTGATCCTAGTTCTGTCGCTCCTCCCTGTCGAACTCCTCCTAACCCCATGCTGGCTATCTCTGGAACAGAGCCTGCCTACCTTTTTTTCACAAATGACCTCTTTCACCTTCTCAGACATATTTATTTTCTTGGAAGAAGAGACGCCCTTAATCCGAGAGATCAGCAGAGGGGCCTGGCAGTGTCATTCTCTGGTCACAGCATAATAACCTCTAGGGCACCCAGGCACTGCACGAGAACACAGCCCTTGTTCCTGTGAGCAGGATGAGTCTTGGCAACTTAGCAAAGCTGGAGGTGTGGGTTGGGGGAAGTCTAATCACGAGGCTTTGATAAATTCTATAATTCCACACATAATAGTAAAAATGAAAGAATGCAACTTCGTAAGTAAAGCACAGGGAAAATCTGTTTTTATCTCCAGCACAGCTTGTTGTTGATTTCCTGTCTTCTGAGATAAAGGTAAAATGGAGAAACTTGGACTATAAATCAAGAATTACTAAGATCGAGGTGCTTTTTTCCAGAAGTAGGAAATTCTAGTATGCACCAGTTGGAAAAATTCACTTGAGAAATTTGAGAATCTCCAAACATTGTTCCAGCTGCCATCCAGTCTTGCTACTCAGGTCCAGAGTTGAGCTGCCTTGTAGCAGGTGGTAGTCAGCCCTGACTCGGAAACTGTCACCCCAGTAGCAGATCACACCTGATTATGTGCACCCTAAAGAGTTATCACTTCTGTGAATACCCAGGTGAAGTGTTGGACTTGGGGCAGAAATTCCTCTTTCCTTTCTAAATAGAAACTCTAGCTCAGTCTTCCCATGGCAGTTGTTTGTGGGCAGCATGGGGGGAGATGCTGGGGGACGCTAAGGGAAAGAACAAAGACATACTCAGATTTCCATATGCAAAATTAGGTCATTCAGTAAGACAGTAGGTAGCAGTTTTGCAAGTCATAATATGGTACTGAAAAGGATGCTCCCTTCATTTTTTAAGAAAATCAACAACTGAGGTAGATCACAGATTACAGTAAGACCCTTCCAGGTGCGAAGAAGATGCCTTCCCTCTTCATGCCTGCAGGGCCCTCTAGCAGGGAGAAGGATAGGCTGGAGGAGAATTTGGAACCTCTTCCATCTGCTGGTCCTGTAAGCATGTGGGAGAATAGAGATAAAAATTGTGCGCTCATTTTTCCTTCTCTAGCTTTAGGTTTGAGGAGAAACAGGGATGTTGGTTCAGTGAAGCTGTTGCTGGAGGCTGAGAAGGGCCTGGGCACGCCTTGTTTCTCTGGCACGCAGCCATAAGACAGTTTACTGATGAAGTCAGCATGGAGAAGCCAGCAGCTGAGCTTTCTCCAGTTGCCCTAATGCCTCCGTCAGGAAGCCATTGACTTAAGAGCCAGTGGACCTGTTAAGGGTTTGGTGTAGCCAGTGTGTGCTAAGTAACACATGGGTCTGTGTCCTGTAGAAAACAAACCCAGGGCCTCCCCGGTGGCGCAGCGGTTGAGCGCTGGGTTGCGAAGCTGCCCGCAGCCTCTGCAGCACCAGTTCAATCCCCGGCTGCTCCCTGGCCACCAAAGGAGGGTCCCACATGGCGCGCAGACCTCTCCTGCCGCCCACTGCTCCCCTCAGCAGTGTACTTCGGTCCTTCTGCCTGCTCTGCTCCCCGCTCTGGTGAATTCTCTCACCTTCCCGCACTTCTGACTGTACCCAGTGCTTGTATGTATAAACAAACAAACAAATAAATAAATAATAAATCTTTAAAAAAAAAAAAAAAAAAAAAAGAAAACAAACCCAAAGGAATTGTTACAGGGCAGCCTTGGGACATCCTTTTCCCCCTAACAGAATCAGCACAGAGGCATCATCTGAGCCAGAAGAAAGAATCTGAATTATACCAGCTTCAGCATGGAAGGTCAGTGGGGCTCAGGAACAGGCAGGCCATGAGGACCATTGTCCTAGAGGCCTGATGAGCCAATGCCCACAACCTCAGGGGGGGCCCTTACCCCCTATGTCCTTAAGGACTCACGTACTAACTCCAATCATGCACCTGCAGGCCAAGTTCAGGAATAGGCAAGGGGTAGGTGGAGGCAACCTGAGGCTGTGAGCATTGCTTCCTAGTGATTGCACAGATTTAAGGGACCACTTGAATTATCAGATTATGTAAAGTGTTTGTAAAGAGGCTAGGGACTTTGGAAGAAAGATTACAATAATCCTTAACCAAAGCAGTGATTGGTTCACCTTGCACATTTGAGTTGTGTAAGTTAAATTTTTTGACCCAGTTTAAAAAAAAATAGATGAAATAAGTTTGGTCCCTCCTCTTAGAAATCAGTACAATTTTTAGTTAGGAGAATTATATAAACCTTTCAAGCCAGAAGACAGTCATTTAGAAAATTATCTCTTCTGCTTAGTACACAAATGGTACAAGCTGTCTGTGAAATATCTCAGCCTTTTACAGGCCAGCCAATGATTCTTTGCTTGCTTAATAAATGTGTATAATTCTTCAGTTTATAAAATACATAAAAATCTCATTTTATCTTCATGGCAGGGATCCCTGTGAACTAGATGGGGATGCTGATTTTATAGACAGGAAGTAAGGCAGAGCACTAAAACCACCAGCCCAAGGCACCAAATTAATGGCTAGTGTAGCTGGGATTTAACTTCACTTCTGATTTCAGGTCTGGCTTCAGCCTAGCATCTTGCAGGTTCCTCTCACCCACTCCTAGCACAGGGGCTCACACGGAATTTCATTACAACCTTGATGTTAGGATTCTGACAAGGTATTCATGGGGGGGTGTCAGGGAGAGGTCAGGTGAACAGGTTAAATCAGAAGGACAGCTGCCCACAGAATGCCCAGAGGCGCTCTGTCAGGCTGACCTTATGTCCCGGTTAAGTTGATCATCCTGTAAGAGCTGAGTTCTGTTAATTTGAAACATGCCATCTGCTTCTTTTATATTAATCACTTTAGAACAATTTTCTTTTCAGTATTCTCCATTGCTGAGGTCTGATAAGTACTCCTAAGCCATGAGGTCGGTGTAATGCCACACAACAGAGAAGACCATGTGCCAAAAAGAAAGCATAGAAATCAGGCTGTACCAGCTTTTCTCTCTTTAAGCTAATTTTCATCAGTTCTTATTTTTCCCTGCTTTAATCTCTCCTGTGAATGTGGTAATGATTTTTTTATTAGATTTTTAAAAATTGTGGCGACATTGGGATTCTCTCCATCAGGTATCACCCCTGTAGGGTACCCCCCCACACCAAACTGCCCTTAGTCTACCACCTTAACCTGTTGTGCTTCCTTCCCTCTTGGTGCCTGACCTCGACTTTTAAGAGCCAGCTTTTAAGCATGTATTTTTTTGGTTCTTGGTTTGGTTTCTCTATATTCCACTTTTAGTGACACCATTTGGTATTTATTGTGCATGGTGTGAGATAGTAGTCAAGTTTCATTCTTTTGCATATAGCGACCCAGTTTTCCCAGGACCATTTATGCCCAAAAACAGATGACTGGATCAAGAAGATGTGGTACATATACACAATGGAATATTACTCAGCAATCAAAAAAATAAACACATGCAATTTGCAGCAACATGGATGGAGCTGGAAGGGATCATGCTCAGCGAAATAAACCAGAAAGAAAAAGAAAAATACTGGATGGTCTCACTCATAGCAAGAATCTAGAAAACCTAAATAAGGGACCAGGAAAAGAATAACTATAAGAAAGAAAAAATCAAAATCAACAAACAACTGAACCAGAGACACACTATATGGGGGGGGGGCGGGGAAAATAAGTCTCTGCCTGACTTATTTCACTTAGCATTATCTCTTCCAGATTCATCCATGTTGCTGCCAATGACAGGAGTTTATCTTTTTTGATTTCTGAGTAGTATTCCATTGTGTGTACACATCTGTATGGAGTCACAGTTCTAAGCGAACTGTGAAAATGTGTCAAGTATAAAACTAGGAGTAGGTTAATGGAAAATAGGTTTCTGTGGGAGTTGACTACTTCATTACACAAAGGTCAGTGTAGCAGGAGGATCAAGAAAGCTTTTGGGAGAAGCAGCAGGCTAAGAGGTAAGTGGGTGTCAGGCAGAAAAGTGCAGGTTGGGGTTGATGCATGGATGATGTTTCCAGAAAGAAAATATAACATGAGCAAACAGCCAGAAATGAGAGGGGTGAAAAGTAACATTCACTGGGTTGAAGGATAGAATGTTGAGATGTGTGTGGAGATAAAGTGGGATAGAGGATAGACTCTTGTTAACCAGTAAAGGCATTAAAACAAAGAATCCTTCCCTCCACAAAAGGTGCTAGGCACAAAGGACCTTACAGGTTATTCAAAGCACAAATAGACCCTATTATTTCTTTTTCTTTTTTTTTTTTTTAAATTTGTATTTTTTTTTTAATAGAGGCATGCTTTTTTTATTTATTTATTTAGTTAGTTTTTGTTTGTTTGTTTATACAAGCACTGGGTACAGTCAGAAGCGCAGGAGGGTGAGAGAATTCACCAGAGCCAGAGCGGGGAGCAGAGCAGGCAGAGGGACCGAAGGACACTGCTGAGGGGAGCAGCGGGCGGCAGGAGAGGTCTGCGCGCCATGTGGGACCCTCCTCCAGTGGCCGGGGAGCAGCCGGGGATTGAAACGGCGCTGCAGAGGCCGCGGGCAGCTTCGCAACCCAGCGCTCAACCGCTGCGCCACCGGGGAGGCCCTAGACCCTATTATTTCTAAGTTTCTTAAGAACATAGTAAAAGAATAAAATCTTCCTGAATAATTGTGCAGGGATAGATTAACTTTGATATAAAAACTGGATAAGAACATTACAAAAATAAAA